TTCTGCTGGCTGCTGCTTCTGCTTCTGCTGCTGATGCACCCTGTTAACCTTTCCACCAAAGGCTAGTCATTAACCACAGACCTGGGCAGGACTCCAAGGCTGCTGCTGCTGCTACTGCTGCCCATCGTCTTTATTAGCCATCTGAAATAAGCCGTCAGGTCACAAAGGTCAGCCATCATCCGGGTGAAAGAGGCTGAGTCTGGACAAAGGTGCTGCCACTGGGGTGAACAAATCAAGGTCTAATGTGAGGCGGGGGTCTGTGGGAGAAGCTGGTGTCAGTGTTCAGCAGTGATGGGTTTGCTCAGACAATCATACATCACTTTTCACCTGTATCAAACCAATCGGCCGTCCTTCCACGGACAGCTGCTCCCTCGCTTGCTGCCGGACACTTTGATGGATAATAGACAGACGCGGCCTCCGTGTGCCAGATGGATACCACGGCGTTAATCCCAAATCCCTTTCTCCAACAATGGAGATGTGGAGAGCATGTCATCATGTCACAGTCTGGAGATAATCCACGCACACAGAAGAAAAGTAGCTCACATTATAATCCTTAAAATCCACTCAAAGAGAGAATTTTCCTGCAAATATAGAGACGTGGACTCCTGAGTGGGTGATTATTCTAATCTGCCGCTGCTTCATAAAAGCTACCTGCTGATTGGTGGTAATGATAGCCCTTTTCTGAAGAGACAGGAGCCATGTAACCGCCACAGCCTGGTGCCAGGATCAGACTGCGGCATGAGAGCTGATGGTGTGTTTCCAGGGTCACATGGTGAAGATAAAGAGGTCAGTGCAGCTCATCTCGCTGTTCAACACACAACCGTCTACATCCCTGTTCTTCTGTGGAACAGACAGAACTTGAAATAAAATGGAGAACAGGAAAAAATATCTTTTTTTTTTTTTAATTAATTCTTGGAACTGTCCTAGGTTCATTGGTATTAGAGTTCCAGGAACCAGTTTGTGTATAGTGTTTGTACTGTTGTACCTTGTTCGTTGTTGTTCCTGTAGTTACTTTGAATGGTTCCTCCACTTATTGGGCATAAGTATCTGTACTTTTACTGCATGTACCCGGTTGTTCCAGTAAATCCTTAACCGAGTTCCACCACTCCACATGCACGGCTATTGGTACTTTGGCTGGTACTGTGTTGATGTTGCACAGAGATCCTGATGTAGTGGTTTCCCGTTCCTGCAAGAAAATACTGCGCTGAACCTGGAGTGACGGCTTGAGTAAATAAAGTTGTTTTTTTGTGTATAAACTCCAGTGGAGTACCGATGTGATGAAAGGATAAATCAAAAGTACTTCTTCATACAGTTCATTTTTTAAACTTTTTCCTGTGGTAAAAATGCTCCTACTGTCTGGTACTTTCACTTGTTCCTATAGATAGTTTTGTAGAGTGAATGCTAAAATGCTAACAGTTTTAGGTACTCAGGAATCAGGTCTTGCTGTAAATGAACATTAGTCCAAATACTATCACTTGGTCCTATTTCCATTACCTGTGTGTGTGTGTGTGAGAGAGAGAGAGAGAGAGAGAGAGAGTGAGATTTTCACTGTGTGATTAGGTTCACTTATATCCTCTCTCCCTTCTCTGTTTCTCCCTCTTTAGTTTAACCCTCTATGGTTCTAAAGCAAGGTCTGGGGGTCTCAGGTGGATCTTCTCTCTCCTGGTTAATGGACCATCTGACGGCACTTAATGAAAATGAATGAGCAGCCTCCAGGACATGCCCGCTCTAGTGTTAGCTCGTGTATTAGCAGGTGTACTGTAACTATTATGGTGGTGGGTGAGGCCGAGGGCGTTGAAGAAGATGTTGTTCCCTCAGAGTGTGCTCTGAGTGAAAGCAGGGACCAGATTTGTTGCTGACACGCAGACAGAAGAGCGGACATGACGAGTGGGGTCAGCACGGGGTTAATTACAGCACACCGCCAAATTGCGGCATTCTCTGAGATGAAGACGACACTTAGGGATTCAGACAAGTCACATGATGGAGAACAAGCTGAGGCAGATTGCTGTTAGCCTCCACTGTCTGCTCCGTGTCTGCAAATGATTATTAATGAAGATGAAGGGAGCGCCGTCAGGTTCCCTGTTTGTTCTCTGATGCTGAGGAGGAGCAGAATTTTAAACACTTTCTGAAGAGCAGTTGAGTTCCCTTTTTTTACCGATGACAATTAATGTGTCCATTGAATCATTGTTTCCCAAAGACGGGGTCGCGACCCTCAGGTTGGTCGCAAGAGATTTTCTTTTTTGGGTCGTCTTGCATCATCTTTCTAGGAGTTTATGTATAATGTCTGTTGACTTGGGTCACGAAGGTTTGTGACTTTTAAAATATGGGTCCCTAGAAAAAACGTTCGGTGATGATCACTGTATTCCTTTAAACCCGTGGTGCTGGGCCTTACTTACTGACATAACATCAACGCATCTGCTTAAATTGAAAAATGAAGACACTATTCATCCCTGGTGAAATTCCCAGTCTGAGTCTGAGTCACATGAACCATTAAGAATATGGTTCCTCTGGGGCTCAAACCCAAGACCAAATGCATATAAGGCTGGCGTGCCAACCGTTACAGTATTGAACAAAGGAAAGAAAGGAAAGAAAATTGGTAACAAATTGAAACATATT